TTCGTCGCGCTGTGATGACGTCACATACGCGCTTTCGTCGACCGCGATTTTGTCGTCCGCGGTTTTGTGGTGGAACCACAACCTTGACCCAGGCCAATTCTGCCATTGAGTATTTATGTTAAGGACGCCCTCCCTCCCTCTCCTGTTTTGGTTTCCTTATATTTATTAATGGCGCCATCGTAGATTCTCTGCCATGTCATCTCCTCACGCATCGAGTTCTCCTGAATCCCGTTCTTGATCTCTCACCCACCTTCAGTTCTGTTTCCTACTCTTACAGCTATCTGTGTGGATGGTACTTTCCATAAGTACGTCTTCACTCCTGATGGAAATTGCAACCGTGAGGCCTTCGATGTCTACTTGGATATATGCGACGATGATGACTTTTGAGTGTAGCTTCATTCCCGTTGTTCAGGCAAAAAGCATGCGAGGCTGAAGCATTGAAATCCAGTGTTACACCAGCGGCAACGGGAGTTTCCTTTCCTCTCCACCTTTTGCCCCCGTATGTTTCAGAAGGTTCTTTAATATTCCATAACAAATTTGGAGGTGTGGGGGGAAGCTGCAGGGAATGGGAATTCTGCTGGCAGAAGGCCATCATTAGATATACTGCAAAGGTTTTCAGAGTGCCGAGATGGAAAATGCTGAAAGCATCTTGCTGTAAGATGGAGTGAATTCTGGAGAACAGCTGCACTTTTTCTTCCTTGATGCCACCTTTCCAGAAGTCTGTTCTTACTGCTGCTTTAGCTCAGCTGCCGTATTCATTTGGGACTGAGAAATACAGACAGCCGAGTTTGGAGAGGAAGAACCTGCCAGATCACTGTACTTTCTATACCCTGGAACCTTAGGAGGTTACATATCTGGATGTGCCCAACAATGATGGGCATTTGGGGAGGAGGGAAAAAGGCACAGTTAACATTAAGAATCAAGAACAGATGTTTATGTTATTTAATTGACATTCTGTGAACAATAAAGGATGAAGGAAATTCTGAAGAACTGAAATAATGATGTGAAATCTTACTCATTGTCTGTATGTATGTGGAAAATATCATTCTTTTATGTAATCCTTCATTGGAGAAGGCCAGATAACAACCCATCTTCATAGAGGAAAAAGGCTAGAGTGGACTAGATGCCTTATTACTTCTATAAGAAGTTTTTAAAAAGTAGTTTTTAAGAGCAGAAAATCAATCACACAGATTCTTTTGTTCTTCCTTTTTGTCTAATTTAAAATGATAACATCTATATATGAACTTGTGGCTTTAAATTTTTTCCATTTTCTACTAATTGTTTTCAATGCTGCCTTCTTTCTGATCTTTCTATGACAATATTATTGCATTTAATTATATAAATGCAGTACAGTACTCATAACTACCATTGTGAATGCTTCCCCCTGCCATTCTAATTAATAAGCATTGGCCAGAATTTTTTGAAGTCACAAAATCTCACGAGCTCTGTATTGTCTTCAAAATTTTTTATAAGATTAAGAATCAATAAGATTTGGTGAGATTTTGGATTTTCCCCCCAATTTTTTTTTTAGTATTTTATTTGTATATTTATTAAATTCAATTCTGTCAATCTCTAGAAATCTTACAGCATTGTTCACTGTCTGAAAAATTTGCTAACTATTTTTTTTAGCACTTGAGCAGAGGTGGGTTCCTACCGGTTCGCACCAGTTCGGTAGAACCGGTTCGTCAAATCTACCGAACCGGTTAGAAGAGGT